CTTTCACTAGTCTACTTTCTGTCTATATTTGCCTATTCTGGACTTTTCTGGAATCGTATAATTTTAGCCCTTTATAACTAGCATCCTTCACTTAGCATAATGTTTTTAAGATTCCTTCAAGTTGTTCAGATTCATCAGGTTTGATTGCAGACTCAGGCACTTCCACATGCCCCGCCCAAGGCTCAGAGAGAGCTGGTGGCCTGTCTGAGGGAGACCAGGTAGAACCCAGGCCCTCACACCTGGCCTGAAACTCTGTCTGCTCTCAGGATAAACAGCAGGCAACAGGGTCTGGGAAAGTAAGGGCCTCACAGCCTGGCGGAGCTGGGATAAAGGTCAGGCACATTCTGGGATGTTGGGATGGCAGAGGACCCTGGACGTGGGGGCTCAGCCTCAACATCCTGCTTCGGCTGCATGTGGGCATTGGCTGCCTCTCAGGTGTGACTCTGGGAAGGTCTTTCCCTGTGCAAACAGGAGACCACGGAAGTTCAGGGCAGGGGCCAGAAATTCAGACAGAAAACAGGACTTTGTGCTGGGGAGGGGCTTTCTTTTGTCCCACAGCCAGCAGGAGCTATTGGCAAGGGATTTCTCAGGAACTTGGCTGGTATCAGCAGTCCTGGGAGGTGGCTTTGAGAGATCTGTTGATGCTAAGGATTGTCATTAGCCTGGCAGGAAGGGGAGGTGTGTTGATGGCTGGGGACGGGTGGGAAGCGTGCTGACTCGAGAGCTTGTTTGAGTGTCTGCTGCCCAGTGTCTGAACTGCACATCTGTGAGCAGAATTTCTGGGTCCCCCCTGAAGCAGAATCCAGCCCTTAGTGTCTTCTCTTCTCACGGCCCTGTGCCAGTCACTGGGGACGTGGGGATAACCAGGCCATCCCATGGAGGAGACAGGCGTGTCAATGGTGTATATGTGGTGTGCCCGGGTAAGAGTGGGGGGATATGCAGGGCTATGGGAAGGCTCTCACCAAGCTGGGGCTCAGGAGAGGTTCCCCAGAGGAAGAGACATCTGAGCTGAGATTCAAAGGATCAGGAAGAGGTAACTAGACAAGGGACTGAAAGCTCTGGAGAGGCCAGGCAGGAGGAGCGGCAGGGGCCAGATCCTGGTCACGTAGCTGGTGAAAAAGTTCACTCTGGTTTCAGCAGGAAGGTCCTAATGGAGGGACAGGGCCCACTCCAGGGACACCAGGGTAAAGAAGAGGCCTGAACCAGAGGAGTGGCTGAGGATGGTGAGAAGAGGGCCCGGAGGGGTGTGAGAAGCCGGCTGGGGATGGCAAGGAGGTCACCGCACAGAGTGGGTCTGCAGGAGCCTGGGTGTCACTCTCGCAAACAGCCACTGGCCATCTCCATCAGAGGCGGAGACTGGGTGACCTTGGCAGGGTATGATAACTGCAGCTGTGGGAGTGCACGAGCTGTCCCTGCTGGGAGAACACACAGAGGAAAGAGGGGAGGTCTGCCTCCCAGGGGAGTCCCACCAGCATGGCAGGATGCACACCCACTCGGGAGAGAGAAGAGTCACCCCAGCAGTCATCCGCTGAGCCCTGGGCCAAGGCGAGATGTGTGCTGTTCCACTTTCCGCTTTTCCAGATTGAAGCGGAATTTCCATTCCCAGGTGGGTTGTAAGGAGGTGACTGGGAAGGGGCAGCAGAGGACCTGTGGGCATCAGGCCCATGGTCAAGGATGCTGGGAAAGGACTGGGGACATGGCTGTGGGTTCCTGCTCCCAGAACACCCACTTGCTGAGCTTTGGTCACTGCTGTGCTACTCAGACACCTTTCTGCCTACCCCTATGTGTTTCTCCAACAAAGCCAAGGCAAAGGCAGTCATCCCTACACCATGCTGCCCCCCAGGCCCTGGGCTCAGGGAAGTCCCTTCAGCAGCACCATATTCCACATGCCTCTCCAAGAGCCCCTGGGACAGAGGCTGCATCAGACAATTCCCAGCAATTAAGAGGCTCATGGTCGTTCAGTATTCCCAGCAAAAGCTCTAATGCATCTTCCCCTGGGGACCGGAGGCTGTAATCCCTAGGTTGAGGTTAGCATTGGTGGTGGGGTTGGGGGTGGGAGGAGGAGATAGGCAGAGGCCCTGGCGAGGCCCAGAGGAAGAAGTAGTGAGTAAGCCCAAAGCCCAGTGTTCCCCAAGGGGCACCTGGGAGCAGGCACTTATAGACAGGCATCTTAGGAGCTCTTCTTACGGCCTCAGCTCAGCCCTTCCTCAGGAAGCAGGCCCTGACCCTTCCTGCACACGGCAAGTGCCCACAGCCCCTCTTTCCCCCACCACGTGCCTGCCGCCTGTGGCACTTACAATGCTGGCCCAGAAGCAGTGGAGCCTGGTGCAGGAGTCTGCCTGTTCCCTCCAAAGGGCCAGACAGTGAGTATTTTGGGCTTTGCCGGCCATATGGTCTCTGTGGCAACAACTTAACTCTGCAGTTATAGTTAAAGCAGCCACAGACAATAATCCATAAATGACTGAGTGTGGCTGTGTCCAATAAAGCTTTATTTATGGACACTGAAATTTGACTTTCATCTAATTTTCATGTCTCACAAGATATTCTTGTTTTGATTTTGTTCCCCAACTATTTAAAAATGTGAAAACCATTCTTAGGGGGCTGGGGATATGGCTCAGTAGTGGAGCCTAGCAGGTGTGAGACACTGGGTTGGATCCTCAGCACCACATAAAAATAAATGAATAAAGATACTGTGTCTACCTACAACTAAAACAATATTTTAAAAATAATTAAAAATAAAACATTCTTAGCTTTTGAGCTGTATAAAACAAGGCAGCAGGTGGGGTTTGGTGGCCTCTGGGTTAGTTTGCTAGCCCTAGGCTTAATGAAAGGCCCTTGTAGCCAGACTGCCTGGGTGTGAGTTCTGGGCTCTGCTGTGTGACCTTTGGTAAGTAGCTAAATCTTTCTGTGCTTCAGATTTCTCATCTGTAAAATGAGGATGGCAATGATAATATTTTGGGAACATAAACTGGTGGTGCCACTATGAAGAGTAGTTTGGCACTTCCTCAAAATGTTAAATGTAAGCCAGGCCCACAGATGCACGCCTATAATTCCAGTGACTCAGGAGGCTCAGTCAGGAGGATTTTCAGTTTAAGGCCAGCCTCAGCAACTTAAATTATATATCAAATTTTTAAAAAAAGCACTGGGGATGTAGCTCAGAGGTAAAACACCCTGGAGTTCAATCCCCAGTACAAAAAAAAAGAAAAAAAAAGTTAAACCTAAGATTTATCATCTGACCCAGGACCCAGCTAATCTATCCCTAATCTATTTCTAAAGAGAAATGAGAACATATATCTACACAAAACCACATTCATGGCAGTGTTATTTATAGCAACCAAAAAGCAGTGACAAACCAAGTTGTCCATCTACTGATTAAAAAAGAATAACAAAATGTGGGCTGGGGTTGGGGCTCAGAGATAGAGCGCTCGCCTCGCACATGCGGGACCCTGGGTTCGATCCTCAGCACCACCTAAAAATAAGTAAGTGAAATAAAGGTATTGTGTCCAACTACAACAAAAAATAAATATTAAAAAAGAATAACAAAATTTGGAATATCCATACACTTGAATATTATTCAGCCATAAAAAGGAATGACGTTGTGACCCATGCTACAACCTGGATGAACCTTGAAAACATCACACGAAGTGAGCCACACATGAAAGGTCACATGTTACATGAATCTGTCTGAAGTCTCTAGAATAGGCAAGTTCATGGAGACAAAGTAGTTGCAGGGTCCAGAGGTGAGCTGGGGTAAGTAGGGGGACCTGACTACTAATAGGTATGCGGCTTGATGGCGATGAAGGAAGTGGAATTGGGTGGTGGGATGGTTGCACAATTTTGTGACTATAGGAAAAATTGAAGGTGACCAACACAGACTTGTACAATGTGAAAGGGTGGCTCTTACAGCATGTGAATTCTATCTCACTAAAGAAACAGTGATGAGGGCTAGCTGTAGCTCGGAGGCCTGGAGAATGAACACCTTGGGGCACTAGAGCAGATTCCTACATCCACCATACCCAGGTGTTACTGCAGGCCAGGCATTCCCCTTTTTCTCTCTGAGCCTCATCTGTTCAACTGTCAAATGGGTTTAGGACACTACCTGCCACTTCAGCTTATTGTGACAACCAGGTGGAACAGTGGATGTACACAGGGCCTGCTGTATTTTAGTGCTCAGTGCATGTCAGCTGTTATGATAATGTATTTGAGAGTGTTTATTTTGAAAGTCTACTATTGCTAGGCACAGATCCAGTTACAGGGGCTAGAGCAGGGAATAAAATAGACACAAATCCTGCCTTCGTGAAACTTATAATGGGGTAGGCACATAAGAAACAAAATAAGCAAGGAGATTTAAGAATATGGTTGCTCTGGGTGTGGTGGTGCACGTCTGTCACCCCAGCCCTATGGGGGAGGCTGTTGCAGGAGAATTGTAAGTTTGAGGCTAGCCTCAGCAAGTTAGCCAGGCCCTAAGCAACTTAGTGTTTTAAAATTTAAAAAGTATAGAGGGCTAGTACGGGGCTCAGTGGTAAAGCAGCCCTGAATTCAATCCCTGGTACAAAAAAAAAAAAAAATGATTGAGAAAGTAAAACTGAGAATGTGGGAGGGAGCTTAGGGAATGCAGGAAGAGATTCCAGTTCTGTAGTAAGTCATCTGGGGAAGTCTCATTGAAAGAAGACATTTGACCAAAACCTGAAGAGAGGAAGGGAAAGAGGAAGCCACGCGAGTTTGCAGGTTTCTAAGGGCAGAGCCTCCCAGGCAGAGGAAAGAGCAGCATGCTGGGCAAGGGCGCAGGACACGGGAGGGGTCGGCAGGAGAAGGAGGAGGCAGGAGGAGGTCGTGAGTAGATGGCAGGGACAGATTTGGGGACCTGACTCCAGGCAGACAGGACCCACTTCAGGGCTTGACCAGAGGCTGCCCCCCAGCACCCCTCGGCTACGATGACGCTTCCAGTGTTGAGCCCATCTCCTCGGCCCGGCCTCACAGCCCTGTGCTTCCTCCCGCAGGACCTCCGGAGCCTCCATGGGTGCTTGAGGGCTGGGCGCCAGGGCGGTGGGCACGAGCATGGTGAGACACCAGCCGCTGCAGTACTACGAGCCCCAGCTGTGCCTCTCCTGCCTCACCGGCATCTACGGCTGCCGCTGGAAGCGCTACCAGCGCTCTCATGATGACACCACACCGGTGAGCCACCCTGGGACGCCACGAGAGGGACCCAGCCAGCCCAGGACCCAGGGAGATGGGGCGTTCGCTGTCTCTCTCCTGGGGGGCTCTGGACAGGTCAATGACCTTTCTGGGTTTGTTTCTTCCTCTGTGAATTGGGCTTGTAGTAATTCCTCAACCCACCTGTCCAGGTAGGCCGGCAGGTGCTCAGCTGTCCTGATGTGGCTAGTTGTTAACTTTCCTCTGATGGCATGGGGACTGGGCTGCTCCCAAGGTCTGGGAAGGAAGGGTCTACAGAGGCAAAGTCACCCCAAGAGAAAAAGTTCCCAGCTTCGAGTCCTGGCAGGTCTAGAAGTGGGCAGTGGCAGGAGACTGAGGAGGTGGGCCCAGCCATTCCGGAGCCTGGGAGCTGCCAGGGCCGGGGTCTGGCACCAGGGCCCAGTCACCTGAGCCCCTGGCCTGCTAGATCTGGCAGCAGGTGCTGAGCCAGATAAAGAAGGCCCCCTCAGTGCCAGGCTTCCCAGGCTAGACCCCTCGCTCCTGTCTCCGGGGCGCTATCAGCGGGTGGATCTGGTTTCTTCTCTGAAGGAACCCAGTTCCTGTGTGGTGTTTATCTAAAAGCTTTGCTGCCTGGAGAACAGCTCTCCTCCTCCCTCCTGCTTGTCTGAACAAAGAAGCCAGCCTGGTAATTCAGGCAGCCCCAGGCAAGCCTCAGTGCCTAGGCAGGCTGCCGCCCAGGTCGGAGGCCAAGTCAGCGAGCTGTCTGGAGGCAGAGGTCAGGCTATCTTGTCTGCCCTCTTCTGCCTATGCTGGCAAGGGACACTGAGACAGGAGTCTGGGTTCGTAACTCCCAATCCATGAAAAGCAGGGACCACCAGAGTAGCCACCAGGCCAGGTTCCTTGCCCATGTCCCCATTCCCAGGACAGAGAAGACAACGTAGCCAGACCAAGGCAACAGAGAGGCTGAGGCCTATTCAGGGCTCACAGCAGGCCCCTGCAGTCCTGGGACCCGAGCCCCCGGCCCCCCTCCAGGCCCCAGCCTAGGAAGCCTTCCCCCCATGAGCTGCCTCACCTGGGAACTAGAGGTGACAACACCCTGCTCATGGCCAGCAATGGGAGATTAGGGATGGGGAGTGACTGGCTCTGGGGCAGCGCTGTGCTGACACACACCGTCTCTGTTCCTCTCAGCAGGCCTGTGAAACAAGCCAGGGAGGGAATGACTGGACCAGAGTCCCCCAGCCCCACTGCCAGGAAGAGCCCAGCACTGGCCCCGGGGGGTTGATCCGACAGCTATGGGGATGGGGGCTGAAAGACAGCCGGGGCAACCCGGAGGCAGAGGACAGCTGAGCTCCAAACCCCTTGGCCACCAGCGCAGTCCTGGAGGGAGGTGCCCTCCCAGGACATGGTGTGCCCCTTGGAGGCCCAGGCCAGCCTATGTGGAGTCAGAACATGGTGGGTCTTGGATGTGGCTGGCACAGGGTTCTGGGTAGAGGAAGGGGCTCGAGGCTGCTCGTGGGAGCTGGAGTGGGGCAGGCGCTGGGGCTCCAGGGACAGGGCCAAGGCTGAAGGAGCCACAGGAAGCCTAGGCCAGGCTGGCACAGTGACAGGAGGTGCAGAGTAGGGGCTCCGTCAATTTTGCTGAACGTATAGAGGCCTCTGCGACCTGGGAAGTGCTGGGAAGGGAGAGGAGAACTGCCTGAGGAGAAGAGCCTCCACGAACACCATGCACCTTCCCCTCCTGGGGAGCCCAGTGCCTTGAGGATGTGTATCTGAGTGAAGGCTCAAGGGAAGTAGAGGACAGGGGGAGCTGGGCAGTGGTGCACCCCTGTAATCCCAGCAGCTTGGGAGGCTGAGGCAGGAGGATTGTAAGTTCAAAGCCAGCCTCAGCAACGCCAGGCCCTAAACAACTCAGTGAGACCCTGTCCCTAAAAAATAAAATACGAAATAGGGCTGGGGATGTCACTCAGTGGCTGAGTGCTCCTGAGTTCAATCCCCGGTTTCCCCCACCGGCCACCCCAAATAAAGAGGATGGAGAATAGCAGGGGAGCGTAGGAGTTGCCTGAGGAGCCTGGGACATGCGGGAGTGTCCTCTGCTGCCAGGCTGGGACCCTCGGCATTGCCTGCGTCCTGCAGGGGTGCCCTGTGGAGCCGGGGTGGAGTCCTCTGCATCCTTCCCGCCCGCCCCAGGCCCCGCTGTCCCTCCTCCTCAAGCTCTGCTCATGCTTCCCCTTCCCAGGACACACACTGGACAAATACAGAAACAGGAAATGGGGGACCTCAGAGGTGAAGTGACCTCCTCTCCTGCCCCCTGCGCAGAGAGCATGGAGCAGCCTTGGCAGCAGGAGGCCGGCTCACTGACAGCCAGGAAGGGGAAGCGAAGCTTTTTATAACTGAGGATAATTAATTGGTTGTTGTCTGTGACTCATTACTCTAATACTACCAATTAGGGACGTGATAGGACAGAAGACTGTTCTCAGGCTGTCCCCACTGGGCCCCCTGAAGACTGTGTCTGCGGGAGTCAGCACAGTGGCAAAACCAGCTTCCCTGCAGTGGCAGGGATATAGGTCAGATATCTGAAGGAACTTCCCAGCCAGAGACTCTGAAAGAACAGATTACAGTTGTCAGCTCTCTTGCACCTCAACAGTACATGTGCCCTTTGATGGCTGTTATGACCTTAATTGATCCCTTCCATCTTACAGACAGGGCTGCAGGATGAAAGGCACAGCCTGCGCTAACCTCTGCTTAGACCCCTGGCCTGTGTCCCCTGCCCTATTCCACAACAAATAGGTTTGTCTGGGATGCGCTGGTCACTTAGTCAATGAACAGAGCTGGTACCTGCTCAGGAGTCTGATAGGTGCATCAGACCTGGTTCCCCCTCCCTCCTGGGGCCCTCAGACTGTCAGGGAGCAGACGTGAGCTGACACAGCCAGACCACCCAGGTGACCATTGGTGAACCCAGGAGAGTTGGCTGAGCTGCGGCTTAGTGAGCCCCCCTCACCAGAGTGGGGTGTGTCCGGGGCCGTGCCGAGCACCCTGTACTTCAGCCTAGCAGGGCACTGAGGACCACTGTGCATGAACCTGGAGGGTGCTGCTAGGGCCAATGAGTGAGAGTGGGCTGGGGCCTGGGGAGGGTGCTTGAGGGAATAGGCAAGGGGAGGGACCCAGAGTCCCATAGACGGTGTGATCAAGAGATTGAGAGAAGGAGACCTCTGAGCATGACTCCCATCCCCCCAGCCCCCCATTGCAGCCATTTCCAGAGTTTCCTCCCATGCTGTGCCTTGGAGGGGGGCTGCCAATGAGTGGAAGTGACCCTCCCCCGCCCGTGCCCCCCCCATGGTGGGCTGTGAGGGGCCCCTCCTGCCCTGCAGAGGAGTCCACCCCACATCCTCCCACCCCTCCACCCAGCCACCAGCCTTTTCCTGTTCCCAGATAACAGTGCCATGTCTTGGTGCCTGCCCCTCCCACGGCCTGGAATGCGCTCCTGTCTCCTCTGGGCCTCTTGACTCCTGGTACATGCCCCCCACCCCTCCACCAAAATCAAGCCAGCTCTCCTTCCCCTCCCTCCCCTCCTTCCCTTCTCCCTCCCCTGGGCTCGCACAGCACCCTGGGCCTGTGCTGGCCTTGAGGACTGATTCTCTGTGTCCTGCGGGGTTGTTATGAGGGCAGGGCCTGGGCCTGCTCCCTCCTGGTTTGCCCAGGGAATGACTAGAAAGAAGGACAGACGATGGGATGACAACAAACGAGAAGCTGCTCAGGGCTGTGCTGCTATCTTGGGTGGGAGAGGCCCCGTGAGTCCTCTGGTGTCGGAGATCTGGAGGAAGCAGGCACACCTGTGTGGACAGGTGCACGATGCACTCCTGACCTGCTTCCCAGGCCCCTGGCTGTGGTTGGTAATGGAGGTTGCCGCTCAGTGGTAGAACTTCCAGGGTCACCCTTAGAGCTGGGGTTGGGCACTAGAGGTGGTCAAGAGGGAAGGGAGAGGAGTTTCCCAGCTGGCCACCAGCTCCCAGCCCTGTGGGTGTGTCCGGGGTGAGGATGCACTCAGGAACCCAGGCAGCTTGGCAGGGAAGCCATCTGAAGGTGGGCTCTAGCACGTGGTTGGATTCAGCCAGATGCAACTAGGTGCTGCTGGCCGAGGGAGATGAGCCTGATCTCCACCCTGCCTCTACCTGGGACCCATCCAGGCAAGGGCTAGACACTCCTGGGCTTCACCTTGCTTGCAGGTTAAAATCCAGTGGTACAAATCCATGCCCTGGGGGTCCCATTAGATGACTGATGGCTGTGCCTTTGGTCTTGGGTAAGAAGAGACCATCTTCCAACCTTGGGGATGACCCACCCTCCCTACAAACTTTCGAGGGGTGTCATTCTCTTCTCTGGTGCTGTGGAGAAAGGGACCCCGCAGGAGTGAAGGAGGAGCTCTGGGTTTTACTCCCCCACGGAAATGGGGTGGTAGCAGTGGCAGGGTTGCAATAAGGAGGAGAAAATGGAGTTGATACTTCACTGGGAGCTGAGGGCTTGTGGCTGCAATAAAGCCATGCTCTCACTGGCCTTTGGAACCCCACATCCCACTTAGCTCCTCTCAGAACAGTACTGGCAGCACCTGTCATGGCTTCGCCACACCCAGGGGAAGCGGCTCGTGGGTGACCCTCTGTGAATGTGCTTTAGGGAGAATGGGTGGGTGTCACAGGGGCTGCAGCCTCCACCCTGGACCTGGGCAGGACCCTCTGAAGCTCTTTGGAGGGTCCTCCCTTGAAGCCCCTTCCTGGTTCTTCTATGCCTGTGCATATCTCCCAGGGGCTGATGCCACCCAAGGGATGGGTGGGGAGGGACCAGAGCTCCTGGCTGGGCCTGGTTTCGTGCTCCTGCTTGGTGAGTTGCTCTGAATGCCCCCCAGCAGAAGCCAGGGCAGACAGAGGCCTAATTGCCTGGCATTCTGTAGCCCTGGGAAATAAATCCAGCTTCTTAGGCTGCCAGGAGCTGGCTGGGGGGTGGGGATTCTAATAATCCCTTTCCCAGCTTGG